AGTGTCTTGCGACCTGAAATAGGAATGAACACATTGAGAATAATAAAATTATAACATTTTTCTATTTAAATAATACTTTATCGATATTTTTAAAAAAAACTTTTATGAACAGCCACTCACATGTCTGATAGAGGCTCCAACATTCAACATTCCAACAGCTACAGCACGATCCTGCATCGACATTCGTGCCATGTTTTATGTTTTTTCACTTATAACGTTAACAAGGATTTATGCAATGTAAAATTTAATACTCACCACGCTCTGCACGAACATTTCGTGTCAAATTGTAAACCGCGCCCTGTTTCCAGCTTGAGTGCATCGACCCGTATTAAATTATTTTTCTTTCCACAAATCGGTAGAAAATGACACAAAAATCACCACTGCAAAATTATATAAGGATCTATTGACCTATTTCATATATAAGCGAAAATACCGGGTGATCGGTAAGACTTTTGTTCAGTGTATACTGTATATATATGCTATGTTTTAAAGTACTTCACCTGTAAAATGTCAGAATTTTGCTAAAATATTCAAATGAAGTGATCAACAAGCTGTTGATAAGCCTATAAGGCTGTAGAAATAATAAACTATCACTTTAATAAGTAAATAAATGAACAAATTTAAAGCAAATATAAACAGTTGAATAATAAAACTGAATTATTTCCAAAAAAATTTAATCTATGTTGCTTATACTTAAGTACAGTATGCTGATAAACCAATCCAGCTTTCTGATTTCCAAGTGTATACTATCACCAAGTGTATAAGGAGATCAATCAATATTTTCTATCAATTTCAATAAAATATCAATGTATACTCAGTAAATATTTTCTAAATTCCAAGTGTAGTAATATTATAATGCTTATAAACCTTTAGGCTTTATGCATGTATGGTGTGGTAGTGGTACCAATCAAAACCAATCACTCTACAAACGAAAGAATTTGTGAACAAATTCAACAAATTTGACACAAAATAATTTTTAAATCTGTAAATAATTACATAAGACAACAATGTAAGTCTTATTTATATTACGGTTTAATTTAATCTTTTTATTTTATTAATAGTCAGCACCTGAAATAAAAGTGTCAAATTGTTTTAAATAAACCTAATATTAATCAAAATCAATATTCCTGAAATTAAAAATATAATTCCCCAATGTAGCTTTATATTAAATCAATTATTTTAAATAATTGCCACTTAATGATAAATTAAATCAATAAAACTAAACTTTCAAACTGTTTTTACAATAATACTACAATATTTCACCCCAGATGACCTATATGCAAATTATATAATTTCTAAATACCCATTTAACCTATTGTTACTAAATATATCTATCAAATGACCTGTAAATGCTTCCCACAATGCTAATTTCCATGAAATGTTACCAAATATAGAAGTCAGGTGGTTGTCACATGGTCAGTCACATGGTCAAAGTTCACAAGCACTGCCCTGTGAGGTCCAGCCCAGATCAATTACACACAGGTTTATGAATGGAACAGCTGATTGTATAAATACCACACTATCAAAACAAAACTACCCAGACTACACAATACACATCAGAATTGAAACTGACCTTGAGTAGGTTAGATTCAATGTAAACAAAGCAAAATATGCCAGGAAATCCAAATACAACTAGAAAAGTAGAACCATAAACTGAAAATGTCAATACAAAAGCAAAGGCAATCGGTGCGTGGCTTGGATAGAATACATATATATGACCACGCCCACTTATTTTTATATTATTTTTTTTTCACTAATTAAATAGTTTTTCATTCAAAATGGTTTTAAAATATCATATTTTCAATAAATCAACAAAGGAAATTTGTTTTTAAAAAATTCATCCATGTATACTATAAATATAGTAAAGATAGAAAGGTTCGCCAGCGGACCTACCACAAGGCCTTATGTTACCTCCCAGATCTTTGTTAATAGACACCAATTTTCACCAATTAAAGTGCAATCTAAGCAGAAATGATTTCTCTTTCGGAAATTTGTACAATATAAGACCAGTTGATACGCCAAATACTAACATTAGCACTGACATTAGTTTGTTATTAAGAAAAAGATCGATTTATATTCAAAATCGTCTACTTTCGGCTCGGTCAAGCGATGGCCGACCTAGACAAAAAGTGCATTTTCGCTTAAAAATTCCATCTTTTGTCTTTTCAACTGGTCTTATATTGTACATTTTTCGAAAGAAAAATCACTTCTGCGTAGATTGCTCTTTATTTGGTGAAAATTGGTTGACAATTAACAAAGATCTGGGAGGTAACATAAGGCCTGGTGGTAGGTCCGCTGGCGAACCTTTCTACCTTTACTATATTTATAGTATATATGGATGAATTTTTTAAAAACAAATTTCCTTTGTTGATTTATTGAAAATATGATATTTTAAAAACATTTTGAATGAAAAAATATTTTATTATTGAAAAAAAAAAATTTATAAAAATAATTGGGCGTGGTCATGTATATGTATACTATCCAAGCCACGCACCGATTGCCTGTGCTACACACTTTATTACATAATTCCACACTATAGTCTCTGGACTACACAATCTGTAAACATATGAAAGCAGTGTAGGAATATGTTATACTCAACTTCCAATTATATATTAATCTAAAAGAAAATGTTACACCCTAATATAGAGAAATATGTCCATACAATGTAGTTTTAAAGGTATATTAATATTTCATGAATTGCAATTGTTTAAAAACATCAAAAGAACCAATGATTGATGAATTGTTTTAAAGAAGCTACAGCATTATAAACATATATGTACTGACTACATGAAGTCATTAATTCCATGATATTTGCAGGAATGAATACTTTTAATAATTCAAACTGAAACTAATTTTAATAGAAAATGAAAAAAATAAAAATTACCAGTAATATTTCTTCTATTGTATTCTTTTGTTCCTCAACTACACCATTTTAGTCTTCTTCATCCTCTTGTCACATGTTACTGAAATATTTGGCTTCAACCTAAATTTTGGAAGTAGAAAAAAACAAATATGCAATCATGTCATAATTTTTATTACATATTAAGACTTCAATTTTTTTCTCTAAGAATGATTTCATTTTCCCTTCATATTTTAAAACAGGTTTCCTGGAAGTTTATTTAAAATCATTTCAGAATACTGAGCTTACAGAATGAAAAATCAAAATATTAAGAACTGCAATTCAATTATAACTTACCATTTATCTGTTCCCAGCAAACACATGACGTTGTTTCAACGTTGCTCAGACGTTAGAGTCCGACGTTGGATAGACGTTGGAATTTAGTTGTATATGAAAGTTTTTTAGACGTCAGAATCCGACGTCAATCCAACGTCATAAAATGACATAAATCCAACCTATATGTAACGTATATACAACTACTTTCCAACCTATTCCCAACGTGAATCCAACCAGTTTCCAACATGATTCCAACCAGTTACTGACGTAATACCAACTAGTTTCCAACGTAATTCCAACCAATTCTCAACATAAATCTAACCCGTTTTCTTTAAATAATTCCCAAATAAAGAGAAAATACAAAACTTTCTATACTCGAAAAGTGATTTTATTATTCAAGAAAGTAATCATAAAAACAATTAAACGAACTATTCATGTAAAACTTACTATACAGTAAATATATTTTTCCAACATATATGCATAACATCAAAAAAGGACTCACTTTTAAATCATTTATAGTGATAACAAAATAAGGTTTGATATTTTATAAAAATGTATATAAACTATTAAAATTAAAAAAAATAAGAGCTACATGTCTTTTCAAAAATTGTTCAACATTTATCAGACCTCTTTCAGTCAATACAATAATACACATTGTGTAATCCAAAATTATAACAAATAACAGTCAACAAATCATTTACATTTAAAGGTCTATGTACAGTATTACATTAACTACTATTATCTATTACAACATATGTCAATTAAAGTTTACAACATGCTTAAAAAGGTTTTCTTTTAAAAACTCATAGAAAATGGAATTCATGGAAAATAAACCTTTCTTTTGCAGTTGATTTCATCGGTAACAAAATTGGATAAGTGAGGGAAAATATTCCCTTCTGTAAAAATTAAATGTAACACACAAAACAATAATATTTACTTTTAAAGAAAGTAGGTGTTTTTTTGGTCTTTTTTCTTCTAAAACTAACTTAAAAATATTAAATTTGGAGATATACTCCTCCATGTGAATATTTCTGATAAACTAAACGTTCACCACTGGATCCTGATTATTTTCATCTACGAAGACACTGTGTCAAATAATGATGTAAAAACTTGTTTTGAGGTTCAACTTGTCTTTTCCCCTTGAAACTGCAAAAAAAGAAATAGAAATAAATAGGTGTACATAGTAACTAAAATGGTCTTATATCAATAATAGTCTAGTAAAAATAAAATATGACCCAGAACTAATTGCAAAAGTTTTGAATCTTTGTTCATTGAATAGGTCTGGTATATGTATATGTCAGAAAAAAAGTTGCACATATAACTCTGTGCACAACTTTTTTTACACGCGTTCAAAGTTCACGAATTTTAACTTTATATTTTAAGACCCGAACTGTACACCATACACGCAGCTTTTTCCTATGACGTAACAATTTTACGTAGGCACGCGCGTCATTGAAAACTTGTCATACGCGTCATTGAAAACTTGTCATATGATTTCGTGAAACTTCCGTCAAAACATAAATATCATTTTTCATCAAAAATAGCATTTAGATGGCAAAGGTAAGTTTGTTTTGTGTATTTTACATTTACTTTGATCATTTATGCCTTTTTACTTTCACAATAAGTGCCATAGTTAAATATAACTACGATTTTATGTTAAATATTTTTGGAAATAACTAAACAGCAAACCAATATCACCAGTAAAAGTTTACTTAGTAGATTTGATTTAAATAAATGATATATATATATTTATAAGAAAAAAAATGTTATTAAGACATATTTAATATGAAAACTTTGTATTTTCGACATTATATTGTTACTTTGAAATGAACAAATTTCACGATTTTTTAATCTACGGAAGACAAAACGGGACATAATTTACGTCGTGAATTTGCATTATTTTATTATAACAAGGTATTTTTATTGTACTGTCGGGGACCATCAAACGAACACTTTTTGAACAATTTTCCGTACAAATTTCATAATTTCTAACCTAGACACCTTAAAATTTGACACTGTTCAGCTAGGTTCTTCTCCTAACTAACAAACTAGTTTGTTTATTTCTGATTGTATTGACACTTATATCTGAGGCCCCACAAGGAGGGTATCAAAATTACCTAACTTGTCTACACTACAGTACCATGTGTCCGGACAGATATGTACATCACGTGGGGTGTTTTGATTTTAGATTTTTAACATGATATACAATATTTCAGCAACAAATGCTGAAGTTTTGGATATTATATTGATTACTCTGCAAATGATTATAGCTGGTATATGAGGTCAGGCAATGCTTTCTTGACCCCCAAATTTCAACGTCAACATTCTAGAAATAGACAACAAAAATATTACCATTTATGTAGGTTGAAATAAATTTATTTACGTAATAACCACAACCACTGAACAAAGAAAATACTAAATAAAGCATTTTCGGGGCCGTCCGGGTTTGGTGGTTGTCTGGTTTTGGTGGTCCCAAACCAGTATATAAAACAATATTCAGATTTACATGTACGTATATATAAATTTATATTTAGATATATATTTTGCATTATTAAACATGTAAATGTACATAAATAAAATCAATACTTAATTTCAGATAGGACATCCATGATTTACACACCAATGGTCATATGATGATTATCTAATGTTCAGCTGTCTCTTGTATCAAGGTGAGTCATACTTTAAGTATTATCTATGCACAATTTCTATCTATAATATATGAACAATGTGTGTTTTAACTTGTCCTTTTTTTAAATATGCTATTATGTGAAATGGACCACACCAGTAGCTCTTCATAGGAAATTTGCAAAATCGCTCCCGAGCTTTCATACTACATGATTGCCCGGAACATACAATACATTCCATATATGTTCACCTTCCTCGGTCTGTTGTGATTGTATAACTTACTGATTTAATATTTTAAAAATGCAAAGTATAACATAGTACGGATATTTTTTGTTATTGCCTACATTTAACACCTATGGAAAGTAATGCCGAATATTCAAATTGGCATTGGCCAAATGACGTCACGCTTTATTAATCAAAGTGGAAAAATGAAATGAACGATTATGTCATTTGAGTATCGGTTCATGCAAAATATACTTGTTTCTTTTAAATACAAAGTTAGTATGCTAATATAAATATATGATAAATTCATACATGATTTCTCACAAAATATGTCTTTTATTTCTATAGATGATACAAGCCACATTAACAAACCATGCTGATGGAACCAATAACGATATGAAGGGCATTGCATTTCGGTATGTTTATACTGACTACTGTATATTAAATTAATAAAAACTCATGACAATTTCTCTGTAAATATACACATGCTTGCCATTAAGTTTTCGGATAAAGGTTTAATGTATTGTTAAATGCAGGGAAATAACATAGGCTATTTAAGGTAGGCTGAAATAAATGCACATTTCATACTGAATATTTCTATACTGAATATTTTTTTTCAGAAACCCGTTGTGCATTTCTGATTTCGGGATCTACAAGTAAATATCAACATGGCAACAGGTATATTTTGTTTTTACCAATGTCAGATGGTTTATACATATTGGTCTGAATAGTAAGAAAATCAATACACAAACATATATAAAATAACATATTTCATAAGTTATATACATGTATGATGTATATTCATATTTTACACTACATAATACTATTGTTACTGTGAAATAATGCATATACAAAATAATAATATATACAGATCTGTAGATTTAAAATATGCTTTCAGATTCTACAACGTGCGTATTTTGTGCGCAGGATATCCAGAATAGGTCCCAATTGTCACTCTCAGAGAGAAGGGAAGCAACAGTGTTAACTATGCTAGCGATCTGAGGAATTCAAGTATACAAGTATACAAACAATTACAGGCCAAATTGTGCACCAAGACTGTAGAAGGGATTTTATTCACAATAGAAACATTTCAAATAGTTCCAATGTTAAGTGTAACCTAGTTAAAAGACCTTTAAGATCAAATGCTAATTTTGCTTTTAAGTGTAATTGCTTGTTCTGTGGTAAGCCTGCTAAAGTTGCATCTGGTAAACGTAGATGTTCATCCTGGTAGAAGTTTTGATTTTCAGGAAACACATCGTCGGAACCCACGGTACACATTCCGTATATACTACATTTAATATTATTACCGATACATATATACGGTAAATAGCCTGGGTTACCGAGGATGCAGGAAACAATACAACTCAAATGTTCTGAGAGAAACAATCTGTGGGGAAATGTTGTTTTAAACAGACTGTTGTCAGTTTTGGATTTTCGTCAGATTCGAAGAATGTATATTTCAGATCAGACAATGAAAACCCAAATAGTTTGGCATATATATTCAAAAGACACCAAAATGTGATTGGAATAGAGATTTGTTATCTCCTACCATTCCTGCACGCTTTCTCTGGTTGCGACAGTTCTTAAAATAATGTGTAAAAATGAAGTGTTCCGGCAAAATGCTGCAATATTTCATTCTTCAACAAACAAAGAAGAAATTATTACAGGTGGTGAAAATGCCATGAGGATATTATATGATGGAGCTAGGGAGATAAATTTGAACAGACTGAGATTTCACAAATTTGTAAGTAAAACCATGTCAAGTTCATCTGTTATTCAAGTTCAAAGCATTCCGCCTACGTCTGATGCTGCGGCGCAACACTCTATACCGTCATATTTTCAAACACAAACATGGATTGGAAATGATAAATTAGACCCAACTGAATGGGGATAGGAACTTCTCTAAGGACTCTTGTACCCGCAAAATCTACACAACCCGCTGCTCCAGATTTTCTTTTAAATATTATCAGATGCAATTGCAAAAAATGCCACTCTTAGAGATGTACCTGTCGCAAACATGACCTCGAATGTTCGGTTGGTTGTGGAGAATGTCATTGTATTAGCTGTTCAAACTGACGGTCCATTTCAGATATTGATTTTGCAGACATGGAGGACTAGATCTTGTATCGACACAATGCTCTTAGAACTAAGTTGTCAATTTTTTACCTGTTTTGTATTGAAATGTATTCATATTTTGTGTTATTATTGGCAATGTACATGCATCTGGCATCTTGTTTTTACATAAGCAATAGAGGTTTCACTTTAAGTTATTCATAAAAAACTTTGCAGACAAATATGTTCTATATATTGAACAGTCTCATATTCCTCGCGATGTTAATACAATGTAGCTTGTAATAAAAACAAAAGATTTATAATAATACTCTGTTTGCTTGCCATATGAAGTAGTTCTTTAGTATTGTAGTTATACTCTTTTATCCAGTGTCAAATTATACTAAAATTTATGCACAATATTTTATATTGGTGTCTATCACAAAACAATTAACTTGTACTAGCACCAAACTATGCCCTATAACATAAATGTAGTAAAATGTTTGAAACAATTTAACTCCAAATGTACAATAGTATTGTACATTTAAAGTTAGATTGTATATTGAATACATACTTATCAATGCTTTCTTATATTTGCTTGTGTTGCGACACACTGTTTTTTTTCTCTAATTGTCAATGTCAAAGTTCACCTATTGTAAATAAAAATGTATTACTATACTGTCTGAAATACAGAACGATAATTTCAAATTTATAGAAGTTGTCTTATATGTTGTAGACTGTTATGTGTCAGTGCAAGCATGACAATAACCCTACCATATACTTAAAGTGATTTAAGTGTACATATCGATGTGACAAAAATGTAGTTCTTGTGAATGAAACAGCCTGTATATTCGTGTTCTTTATATTTATTATCACTACATTGTTGCTTGCCAAATTAGGTAGCTCTTCGGTACATTTGTACATTTGTAATATAGTTTTATTCCGTGTGTAATGTCAAATTTCAACAAGTGACACTTAAATGTATATACATGTACTACAATTTCTCCATAGAGTATGATAGACCGGGCATAGTATTTTTCATCTGTAGTTTTGGTAATTGTTACTCGCTCTTAATTATGCTTACTTGTTGTTCTTTTTTTTGCTTGAAACAAACAAATTATTCAAAATGCGTTGGATGTTCAGAATGTTAGCTAAACAAAAGTGTACCTGAATTATTTAACATTTATCTAAAACATAATTTACAATACACATGTATGTCCATTTTAATTCATATGAATACAGTTGACATAATTTACAAAGTACTTCTTCATGCATAAATATGTTATTATGTATTGTTTTTACTGTAAATATACATGGAATGGATGATTTGCTGCTTATATATCGGAATTTGACTGGTTAAAAAAATTAACATAAAGTGGGTGGGGTAATTTGACACCAGTTTGTCATAGAATTGCCCACCAAAATTTTTTTTTTAATTTTAAATGCGTAAATTTTTGTATCAACATGGACAAAAATTTGTTTGTATGAAGTTTGCATGTAATAAATATGTTTAACTTATATATAGACGTGTTTTTTTAGTATCATCGGAAATTAACAAATTACGCCGATTTTACAACTGAAATTTAAGGGTGTCAACTTGAAAGCTAGAATTATCACATTTCCCCTTCAGCAAAAGAGTGCAACTTTTTTCCAAATATCAAGCAGATATGGTACCATCATAAAATACCAAAACAAAAACTTTTGCAATTAGTTCTAGGTTAGCTTGATTTTCGGGCTAATTTGACTAGACTATAATATTAAATTACAATATTATTACCCATAGATTACACTAGCATATCATAAATTAGAAACATGTCGATTGATGATGTAGAATACTCAAAAACTATAACTTCAAATATATGTAATTTGCAAAACAGTAACATGTAAAGTTGCAAATTCAATCATAAGACATTTCACCGTAATTATTTTACTTTTTGATTTAACAGTTAATTTTGACACAAAACACAAATTTATAGTAAATAACAAAATCAAAAATCCATATATTACTTAATTTGATGTCCTCATCATTCTTTTATGTCCAAATGTTTTTTCTGTCGACTGTTTTTCATGTATACAAATATACATTGTTATCAGCTAATTGCATCAAAACATTAGAGTCAGTCTATAAAAAAACAAATCCAATGATTATTGACAAAAATTAAGTTATAAATTTGTACTTTGACAGTATACTTTTGTTGATAGATCCCTACTTTGACCTTTTACGTGTAGATCTATTTGAATAACAATAGATTAAATCTCAAATATTTGACATGTGTTCCTTTGTTAACAAAACGTTGTGGTGAAATACCTTTTGTTATCTAGTCTACTAATCTGAGAGATTAAGGTCATTCATGAGGGGATCTTGGTTTAAAATGAAAACACAAATAAAACAAAATAATTGACACGAATTTCATACAATGTCTATATCATTTGAATCCCAAAAGTACGAGTTAATTAGGGCGAATCAGAACATGTTAATAATGAGATAATTGAAAATATGAAAATATATATCCTTATGTAACTAAATTTTTCAGTTATTATACTATGCATGCAGTAAGTTTAAATAAAATCCTACCCTCCAAAAAAATATCACTATTACTTTTTACTTTCTTGATGTCTAAAAGTCCTTTGTCTTTGTTTGAATTTGAAACAAGTTGTTGTTGTAGCCTCGTTTGAAATTCATCAAGTTTCGTTATTTTTTTTCAATTTATTTAAAATACTAACATTGTTCCTTTTCTATTGTCTAGTATAACAAAAAAAAATTTTTAACAATACAATGGATGTGAAGAAAAAAATGAATAACAAAATTCGAATGATTATCTTGAACTTAAATAAGAGCCACCTATCGGGTTTATAAATCAGAACAAAGGGAAGTGACTCAATCAAGACTACTGTGTTAGATTTCACTGAAATCCGATGTCGTATCGACGTAATTCCAACACGTTGATACGACGTCGTGAATACAACGTTGTTTCAACGTTGTATTAAGGATTTTGACGTCGCGACATAAATCCAACTTAGATCTAACGTTGAAACAACGTCAGGTGTTTGCTGGGTTACAATTGGCTGCTTATTTCCCTCCATATTTTCAAATTGAATAACAAAGTTTAACACATCTATTATGCTCCATGTTATATATAAATTTCACAATAAATCTCCCAAGAAAAGTCTGTATAGCTGGGGAAGTTGAATTTTTAAATCTCATTTTCTATGTAATTATCAAAACTCATATATGTATTAATATATAATTGTAAGTTGATTTATTTGAATTAAAATCACAACTTAAGCCTCCAATCTTTCTAAAGAAAATGACCATGCTGGAAATAATTTTCAGGGTGTGATATTTGCTCTGGATTTTAAACTGCTGTTGGTCAATCTGTGGTAACTTCTCTATTTTCATCTGCCAGATAGCCCAGTTTAACATAAAGTATTTTGAAATACTGTAAAAAGTTCCACTTGAAGGTTATTTGTTTATATAAACTGAAAGCTGACCTTAGAAGTAGGAGATTCTGTACAGATTGTGAGATGATTGATATAAACTAAAAATCTTGTACATTACTTATTGCTGACCAATTAATGCATTAAATAATATCTTTTTATCATTAGTTAAATATAAATACAATCAATTACCAGTGACAATTATCAATTTTATAGATAACAATAAATCATGTTGAGCTAAATAATCTACATAATTTCAAACAAAAAAAAATAAAGAATAATTCAGTACATGAAAAGAATTTTTGTTAAATGGAGTTTACCATAAATCAACTGAAACTTTCCAGAAATAGACATTATAATTAATATATTTTCTTCTGAATTTAAAAATTCAATTTTATCTGAACAGCAATGTAAACTGTACTATAAGTGTATTACAAAATTCATTTCTAATAACTCTAACTAAGAAAAATCAGGCTGGAAATGAAGAACTTTTAAGACTGTATTGAAACTGGTTCTTGAAAATTTTCTAACATTGAAATATCTGGGTAGATTATGCTTATATTTCTCCAAGTCAGTAAAATCTGTCTCAAAATATTTTCAAAGTGCAAATATTCCTGCTTCCAGGACTTTAACCAAAATGAAGACAATGTCAGGGTAGAAAAAACTTGAATTCCCTTGTGAGATTTCTTGAAAATTCAGGGTCCCTGTCTATTTCACCCTGATTTTGCCAATTCTGGTTCAAAACAGGCCTGAATCGGTCCTGTTTTTCAAAAAAGCCATGCTGATTTTTCGTACAGGGTATCATACTGAATATTAGAAATTGCAGTTGTCTATTTTTTTATCCCCCGCCGAAAAATTTCGGCGGAGAATATAGAAATAGTCTCCGTCCGTCCGACCTTCCGTCCGTCCTTCCGTCCGTCCGTCCTTCCGTCCGACATTTTTGTCCGGAGCATATCTCTTAAAGTATGTGAGTTATCAGCTTGAAACTTCATAGGTGGATAGACCTCATTGAGGAGGAGTGCAGTGGACAAGAATGATAACTCTACCTTGCATGATTTTTGAGTTATTGCCCTTTGTTATTTTTCAAAATTGATTTTTGTCCAGAGTATAACTCCAAAAGCCTATGAGATATTAACATGAAAACTTCATAGGTGCATAGATCTCACTCAGGAGGTGTGCACAAGAATGATAACTCTACTTTCATAATATTGAGTTATTGCCCTTTGTTATTTTTTCATACCTAATTTTTTCACC